CAGTTTTGTTTTTCAGACAATGTCTATGTCACCTTGGGTAGAGTACCATAGTGTCACAGCTCACAGCAACCTCAGACTCTTGGGCTCAAGCTGTTCTCTTGCCTCAGCCTCCCAAGTAGCTGGGACTACAGGCGCCCACCACAATGCCCAGCTATTTCTTGGTTGCAGTTGTCATTGTTTAGCTGACCCTGGCTGGGTTCAAACCTGCCAGCCTGGGTGAATGTGGCCAATGCCGTAACCACTGCTACAAGCGCCAAGCCTCCTAGCCCCCCTTTTAGACAGAAGGAAGGTTAGGCTGCCTCAGGCTCCTGCCCTAGTGTTCCTGACCCTGGACACCTGGGCATCTGCATTCTACCACTTACCAAGAACAGCCTGCAACCCTGGAGGTGCTCCTAGCCGGTGTTTTAATTATTCTCTCAGGTGACTGCCACACACGGACTCTGTCACCTCCTGGGCTTCACACACAGCACTGAGGCAGAGTGGCTGAAGGTAAGAGCCTGCCATCCTGCCTACTTGGGTGTGTCTGGGTGACATCTCACCTACACCTGATGGCCTCTGACCTGCCCTTTGTAAAATAGACTCAGAAATGTTTTAAGTGTCTAACTTGAGCATACAGACTGAAAAAGTAGAATTGTGAGCATGGTGGTTGGTGTTTTTCAGAGAGCTTAATGTAGAAAATCTTTACAAGAGACATTGTGATGACACTTAATTTGAAACAGAACTTAGTAGGCACTAAGGTGTCGGCACACCTGCAGGTTGTTTCCATTTATAAAGGCCTGTTGGTATATGCCCCACACAGAGAACATGGAGATGCCGCCATTTGTCTGAAAGACGAAGGCCTCCTGCCCCACCCCACCCCATAAGAAATAGTCCTGGTTGGGTGTCACCTGTGGCTCAAAGGAGTAGAACGCCGGCCCCATATGCTAGAGGTGGTGGATTCAAACCCAGCCCCAGCCAAAAAAGAAAAAAAAGGAAATAGTCCTGGATGCTTTTGGCCTCTCTAGGCCAGTGTCCCAGTTTCACACTAGCCACGGCCCTTACGGCGGCCAGTCTCTTGGGGGTTGGACTCCAAGCCTTTCTCAGGGGCTTCTTGGAGGGGTAGGTGGGCAGGCTTAACCCAGCCCTCACCCTGCTGCTGGGGTAGGCCGACCCCTGCCCATCTGGCCGGTGGTTTGGTGACCCCTGGGGGCTGGTCTCCCTGCTGCCAACCCTCCCCCTGCAGGCTCCACAAGTATGGGTAGGTGGTCAGCGGAGCCAACCCACCCTTGGCTTTCTGGGCCCACGCCCAGCGTTTTCTCTTCTTATAGATGCTGCAGAAGGAGAAGCTGGCACTGGACGAGCTGAACCGGCACACTGGGACCAGGCTCCAACCTCTGAGCAGGGACCTCTTCTGATGCCAGAGGCTGGGGACATGGAGACAGAGATAGGGTGGGAACAGACATTCCCCACACACAGTGGGGCACCCCCCAGACTGGGATTTCTACATGTCACCACTGTCCTGTGTCAGAAGCACCAGCCTACAAAGGGGCTAGATTCCCTAAGCAGAGCACTGAGATACAAGTGTTAGGACACGTTAGATTTTTTTTTTTTTTTTTTTTGCATTATTGCAAATAAAAGCTCTAAACCCTTGGAGATTCCCATTCCTTTCTTTGTGTAGGACACATCAGATTTTTTTGTTTGTTTTTTTTGAGAGGGTCTCTCACTATGTCACCCTCAGTAGTACACAGCTCATAGCAACCTCAAACTCTTGGGCTTAAGTGTTTCTTTTTGCCTCAGCCTCCCAAGTAGCTGGGACTACAGGCTCCCGCCACAACACGTGGCTATTTTTTGTTGCAGTTGTCATTGTTTAGCTGTTCTGGGCCAGGTTTGAACCCACTAGCCTTGGTGGCTGGTGCCGTAATTACTGTGCTGTGGGCACCGATCCAGAGGTTTGTGTTTGTTTTTGCATTATTGAAAATAAAAGTTCTGGGCAGTGCCTTGTGGCTCAGTAGGTAGGGCGCCAGCCCCATATACCAAGGGTACCAGGTTCGAACCCAGCCCAGGCCACTAAAACAGCAATGAGACTCCCAAGTATCTGGGCACCTATAGTCCCAGCTACTTGGGAGGCTGAGGCAAGAGAATTGCTTAAGCCCAAGAGTTGGAGGTTGGTAAGCTGTGAGGACACGGCACTCTATCAAGGGCAACAAAGTAAGACTGTCGCAAAAACGAAAAGAAAAAAAGAAAAGTTCTGGGCAGCGCCTGTGGCTCAGTAGGTCAGGCGTTGGCCCCATATACTGAAGGTGGCGGGTTCAAACCTGGCCCTGGCCAAACTGCAACAACAAAAAAAATAGCCAGGTGTTGTGGTGGGTGCCTGTAGTCCCAGCTACTCAGGAGACTGAGGCAAGAGAATCACCTAAGCCTAGGAATTGGAGGTTGCTGTGAGCTGAGACACCACAGCACTCTACCAAGGGCAATAAAGTAAGACTCTGGCTCTATATAAATAAATAAATAAAAGTTCTAAACCCTTAAAATTGAGAGCATATAAACTAATTCGCTGAGTTCTATGGATCTTTCCTCAGAGAACTCCAGCATTCTGGTAAAGAGGCTTCACCTCTGTTGGCAATCTGCCCTGGTCTGGTCCCACCCTCACCCCTCAGCTGTGCAACCTTGAGGGTTCACTTGGCACCTCCAGTGTCAAGGCCCAGGTGGCCCAGCCAGTGACCAGGCCATACAAACACCATCAACTTTGCCACAATTCTTCCTTCTATTGAATAAATAATTGTTGTGAAATAGAACTAAAAGGAAAAGCCATATTAGAAAAAAATCAGTATGAAAACTGGATATTGCATGTTTTAATTCTGGTTTTTTTAAACAAGAATCACATTCAAAGGTGCAGAGAAAAATGGTTCTGAGAGAAGCAGGTGTCACCACTGTGGCTCCATCAGGATCAGGCAGAGATCAGACCTTTCCATTCCTGGAGACATTAGCCGCTCTGGTCCTTAGGAAATCAGCCCATGGGAAACACCTGCATATGGCTGAGTGGCAGCATCTTGCCTCCTACTTGCCAGGTTCCAAGGGTATGAAGATGGAAACAGGGTGCCAGCTTGTGAGGAATTTAGGGGACAAGAGACTCAATCCTGAGAGGCACGATACTTAAAAATAATGTTTAAATAAAAATAACATTAAAATAGCAAGGGCTCAGAAGCAGTGGCTCATGCCTGTGATCACAGCACTTGGGGAGGCCAGGGTAGAAAGATCACTTGAGTCCAGGAGTTACAGACCAACCTGGGCAACAAAGACCCCTCAGCTAAAAGTTTTAGCTAGGCATGGTATGTGTCTGTAGTTCCTCAAACGAGGAGTTAGAAGGATCCTGTGAGCCCCAAGGTTGGAGGCTGCAGTGAGTTGTGATTGCTTCACCTGCCTTAGGGACAGCCAGGCACTGTCTCTAGAAAACAAAAGTAGGCCGGGCACAATGGCTCACACCTGTAATTCTAGCACTCTAGGAGGCCGAGGCAGGTGGACTGCATGAGCTCAGGAGTTCTAGACCAGACTGAGCAAGAGACCCTGTCTCTACTAAAAACAGAAAAGTTAGCCAGGTGTTGTGGCAGGTGCCTATAGTCTCAGCTACTTGAGAGGTTGAGTTAGGAGGATCACTTGAACCCAGGAGTTTGAGGTTTCTGTGAGCGAGGCTGATGCCACAGCACTCTACCTGGGCAAAAGAGTGAGGCTCTCAAACATTAAACTAAATAGAAAATTAATAGATAAAATAAAGCCAGGGAATATAATTCCGACCCTCCAAGAAGAGTTACAATAAGAATCTAGGTAACTGGCTCGGCGCCTGTGGCTCAAGTGGCTAAGGTGCCAGCCACGTACACCCAAGGTGGCGGGTTCGAATCCAGCCCGGGCCTGCCAAACAACAATGTTGGCTACAACCAAAAAATAGCCAGGTGTTGTGGCGGGCGCCTGTGGTCCCAGCTACTTGGGAAGCTGAGGCAGAAGACTTGCTTGAGCCCAGG